TGGTTGTGCTTCAGATGTTGTTTGTTTGGTTCGTGCATGCTAGACTTGCGGTTACACAGCTGGTGGGGCTTTGGTTACACAACTGGTCGGGGTCTGGTTACACAACTGGTCGGGCTCCGGTTACACAACTGGTCGGGCTCCGGTTAAATAACTGGTCGGGCTCCGGGGGTGTTACTTGGGCTTCGGGTTGTGCATGATCGGGCTTCGGTTCGTGCATGGTTGTGCTTCACATGTTGTTTGTTTGGTTCGTGCATGCTAGACTTGCAGTTACACAGCTGGTGGGGCTTTGGTTACACAACTGGTCGGGGTCTGGTTACACAACTGGTCGGGCTCCGGTTACACAACTGGTCGGGCTCCGGTTAAATAACTGGTCGGGCTCCGGGGGTGTCACTTGGGCTTCGGGTTGTGCATGATCGGGCTTCGGTTCGTGCATGATTGTGCTTCAGATGTTGTTTGTTTGGTTCGTGCATGCTAGACTTGCGGTTACACAGCTGGTGGGGCTTTGGTTACACAACTGGTCGGGGTCTGGTTACACAACTTGTCGGGCTTCGGTTACACAACTGGTCGGGCTCCGGTTAAATAACTGGTCGGGCTCCGGGGGTGTCACTTTGGCTTCGGGTTGTGCATGGTCGGGCTTCGGTTCATGCATGGTTGTGCTACAGATGTTGTTTGTTTGCTTCGTTCATGCTAGTCTTGCGCTTACACAATTGGTCAGTGTCCAGTTACACAACTGGTTCTAGCTCTGGTTACATAACTCCAGGGTTGTGACTTGTTGGGCTCTGGGTTATGCATGGTCGGGCTCGTGTTCATGTTTGGTTGTGCTCCAGGGGTTGTTTGTGTACTAGTGCTCCAGGTTTGTTTGCTAGGGCTCTATGGTTATATGTTTTCCAGAAATCCGGGTTTCTTTTTTTGTACATAGCTCACTTTTTTGTTTGCCATTGCTCCATAGTTGGTTTCTAGAGCAAGTGGAAGGTTTTAGGTACGGATAAGGAAATTTTTGTTCGGTCGAGCTAGGAATGGAGTTTGGTTGGCTCCGGGGCTGTTTAGGTTGGTGGGGGTTGGATGAGATGTATACTTGCTAGACTTGCGGTTACACAAATCTTGGGGTTTCGGTTACACAACTGGTCAGGGTCTGGTTACACAACTGGTCAGGGTCTGGTTACACAAGTGGTCTTTGTCTGGTTACACAACTGGTCAGGGTCTGGTTACACAACTGGTCGGGCTCCGGTTAAATAACTGGTCGGGCTCCGGGGGTGTCACTTGGGCTTCGGGTTGTGCATGATCGGGCTTCGGTTCATGCATGGTTGTGCTTCAGATGTTGTTTGTTTGGTTCGTGCATGCTAGACTTGCAGTTACACAGCTGGTGGGGCTTCGGTTACACAACTAGTCGGGGTCTGGTTACACAACTGGTCGGGCTCCGGTTACACAACTGGTCGGGCTCCGGTTAAATAACTGGTCGGGCTCCGGGGGTATTACTTGGGCTTCGGGTTGTGCATGATCGGGCTTCGGTTCGTGCATGGTTGTGCTTCACATGTTGTTTGTTTGGTTCGTGCATGCTAGACTTGCGGTTACACAGCTGGTGGGGCTTTGGTTACACAACTGGTCGGGGTCTGGTTACACAACTGGTCGGGCTCCGGTTACACAACTGGTCGGGCTCCGGTTAAATAACTGGTCGGGCTCCGGGGGTGTCACTTGGGCTTCGGGTTGTGCATGATCGGGCTTCGGTTCGTGCATGGTTGTGCTTCAGATGTTGTTTGTTTGGTTCGTGCATGCTAGACTTGCGGTTACACAGCTGGTGGGGCTTTGGTTACACAACTGGTCAGGGTCTGGTTACACAACTGGTCGGGCTCCGGTTACACAACTGGTCGGGCTCCGGTTAAATAACTGGTCGGGCTCCGGGGGTGTCACTTGGGCTTCGGGTTGTGCATGATCGGGCTTCGGTTCGTGCATGGTTGTGCTTCAGATGTTGTTTGTTTGGTTCGTGCATGCTAGACTTGCAGTTACACAGCTGGTGGGGCTTTGGTTACACAACTGGTCGGGGTCTGGTTACACAACTGGTCGGGCTCCGGTTACACAACTGGTCGGGCTCCGGTTAAATAACTGGTCGGGCTCCGGGGGTGTTACTTGTGCTTCGGGTTGTGCATGATCGGGCTTCGGTTCGTGCATGGTTGTGCTTCACATGTTGTTTGTTTGGTTCGTGCATGCTAGACTTGCAGTTACACAGCAGGTGGGGCTTCGGTTACACAACTAGTCGGGGTCTGGTTACACAACTGGTCGGGCTCCGGTTACACAACTGGTCGGGCTCCGGTTAAATAACTGGTCGGGCTCCGGGGGTGTCACTTGGGCTTCGGGTTGTGCATGATCGGGCTTCGGTTCGTGCATGGTTGTGCTTCAGATGTTGTTTGTTTGGTTCGTGCATGCTAGACTTGCGGTTACACAGCTGGTGGGGCTTTGGTTACACATCTGGTCGGGGTCTGGTTACACAACTGGTCGGGGTCTGGTTACACAACTGGTCGGGCTCCGGTTACACAACTGGTCGGGCTCCGGTTAAATAACTGGGCGGGCTCCGGGGGTGTCACTTGGGCTTCGGGTTGTGCATGATCGGGCTTCGGTTCGTGCATGGTTGTGCTTCAGATGTTGTTTGTTTGGTTCGTGCATGCTAGACTTGCGGTTACACAGCTGGTGGGGCTTTGGTTACACAACTGGTCGGGGTCTGGTTACACAACTGGTCGGGCTCCGGTTACACAACTGGTCGGGCTCCGGTTAAATAACTGGTCGGGCTCCGGGGGTGTCACTTGGGCTTCGGGTTGTGCATGATCGGGCTTCGGTTCGTGCATGGTTGTGCTTCAGATGTTGTTTGTTTGGTTCGTGCATGCTAGACTTGCGGTTACACAGCTGGTGGGGCTTTGGTTACACAACTGGTCGGGGTCTGGTTACACAACTGGTCGGGCTCCGGTTACATAACTGGTCGGGCTCCGGTTACATAACTGGTCGGGCTCCGGGGGTGTTACTTGGGCTTCGGGTTGTGCATGATCGGGCTTCGGTTCGTGCATGGTTGTGCTTCACATGTTGTTTGTTTGGTTCGTGCATGCTAGACTTGCAGTTACACAGCAGGTGGGGCTTCGGTTACACAACTAGTCGGGGTCTGGTTACACAACTGGTCGGGCTCTGGTTACACAACTGGTCGGGCTCCGGTTAAATAACTGGTCGGGCTCCGGTTAAATAACTGGTCGGGCTCCGGGGGTGTCACTTGGGCTTCGGGTTGTGCATGATCGGACTTCGGTTCGTGCATGGTTGTGCTTCAGATGTTGTTTGCTTGGTTCGTGCATGCTAGACTTGCGGTTACACAGCTCTTGGGGCTTTGGTTACACAACTGGTCGGGGTCTGGTTACACAACTGGTCGGGCTCCGGTTACACAACTGGTCGGGCTCCGGTTAAATAACTGGTCGGGCTCCGGGGGTGTCACTTGGGCTTCGGGTTGTGCATGATCGGGCTTCGGTTCGTGCATGGTTGTGCTTCAGATGTTGTTTGTTTAGTTCGTGCATGCTAGACTTGCGGTTACACAGCTGGTGGGGCTTTGGTTACACAACTGGTCGGGGTCTGGTTACACAACTGGTCGGGCTCCGGTTACACAACTGGTCGGGCTCCGGTTAAATAACTGGTCGGGCTCCGGGGGTGTCACTTGGGCTTCGGGTTGTGCATGATCGGGCTTCGGTTCGTGCATGGTTGTGCTTCAGATGTTGTTTGTTTGGTTCGTGCATGCTAGACTTGCAGTTACACAACTGGTGGGGCTTCGGTTACACAACTGGTTGGGGTCCGCCTACACAACTGGTCGGGCTCTGGTTACATAACTGGTCGGGCTCCGGTTAAATAACTGGTCGGGCTCCGGTTAAATAACTGGTCGGGTTCCAGTTAAATAACTGGTCGGGCTCCGGTTTAATAACTGGTCGGGCTCCGGTTAAATAACTGGTCGGGCTCCGGTTACATAATTGGTCGGGCTCCGGAGGTGTCACTTGGGCTTCAGGTTGTGCATGGTCGGGCTTCGGTTCGTTCATGGTTGTGCTTCAGATGTTGTTTATTCTGAATTGTTTGTTTGCTTTGTTCACACTAGGCTTGCAGTTACACAATTGGTCGGGGTCCGGTTTCACAACTGGTCGGGGTCTGGTTACACAACAACTGGTTGGGGTCCGGTTACACAACTGATCGGGCTTTGGGATGCTCAATAAACTACTACTCACTGGTTGAATAGGGGATGCTTAATGAACTATCCACCTCTGGCGGCAAAAAATCAATGAAGTGTGCAACTATTCGTTCTGTAATAAGAGATAAAGCCGCTGCTGATAGATAATAATAAGATATATAACAGTATAAGTAGTGCGCTATAAGCACGTCAGCCCACATTTAATTTCCAATTGGTAAATAGTGATATATATATATATATATATATATATATATATATATATATATATATATATATATATATATATATATATATATATATATATATATATATATATATATATATATATGAGTTTTAATTTGTAAGTATCATATAGTTCTATACAGCAGCAGTAACTTATCAATCTTATTTTGAAAATTACTGTCATTAAACACTTATACCTGGTTGGGCTAGGGGGAGGGAGATGCATGAGTGAAATCATCTACAAAAAAGGAAGAAAACCCTCCAGTAATCCAGCGAAGGAGGAAAAAGAAGAAATTATAAATAAAGAACAGGCTCCAAGCCATTACGACTATATAGCGAAGGCGAAATTACGTTTAAACTTTGCGGCGAGAACGGTTATTTCGCCATGTTGCTCTACTATAAATATAGCCCCAAGTTGATGTACCAAATCTCTCCTTGCTGGCCTTCCCTTGACCACTATCCTCCCCCACAACGTAAATACAGTCACAAATGAATTTAATCCTGTAGAATATTGACTATAAAGCGGTAAATAGCTCGAGAAATGGCTTAAATAGCATTAGGTGGGCGCATGGCGGCGCATGCGCAGAGCGTGTTCAAAACAGTCTCCTTCGAGACGTTGCAGGACGTGGGGCAAGTGTCTCTCTCTCTCTACCCCTCTCACACCTCTCTCCCTCTCTCTCACACGCCTCCCTCACGCCAGGACCGTGGCCCCGACACGAAGATGACTCTCAACCCGCAGTTCCAGCAGATCGGGGAGACGTTTGTGAAGCAGTACTATGCCATCTTCGACGGTGAGAGAGAAGGCAGGGAGAAGCTGGTCATCTTTTATCATGTGAGTCTTGGCAGGCGGCGTGGGGGGCTCTTCCCCCCCTGAGACAGGGGGGGGGGGGGACAGGCAGCATGGGTGTGTGTGTGTGGTCACCCCCTGTTGCTGGGGGGGGGAGAGGGGAAGCATGACGGGGGGGGGGGGGGTTTCGCCATGCTTGTGGGGGGTAGAGGGGCAGCATGGGGTGTGCCTTCCCCCCCCCCCCCCATGTGCACCTAAGGGGGGAGGGGGGTGGAGACAGTCTGCCCCCTGCTGATGGGTAGGGGGGGGGGAAAGGGTCTAGTGGGACACAGATAGGGCATGTGTGTGCCCCCAGTTAAAGGGGGGGGGGTTATCTGGGGGCAGGGCGAGACAGCTAGGCGCGTCTCCTTGCACCCGTTGCCTCTGTTCACCTAGCAGTAATTAGGAACTTGGTTGTTAGTCGACCATTGTGGGTCGCTTTCTGAGGAATGGTCAAATACCGTTCATATTCGAGAAAACTTCGAATTTCCCACAAAACATGGAACTTAGACAGAAGTATCTGGGGGAGGGGGTAAAGGCAGGCAGACGTAGATTTAAGTCACGCGTACAAACATAGTTTCCGCCTCCGCCGGGGATCGAACCCGGAACCTTATGACTACAAATCCCGAGTGCTGCCCACTCGGCCGTCAGGCCTCACAAAAAAAGATGAATTTTGCGTGCACAAAAAAGTCGCCAAACTCGAAACATTTATTAGTTATAATACTGTAAAAAGCTAATTTAATTATTTTTGCCATAAGTCTTGAATAAACAATTATCGTATGTAGCAGTAGATGTAGTTTTTTTCTAAATATATTAGTTGGTGTGTGGCAATTTTAAAGTACAAGTTGACCTGATACTGGTACAGAGCGACAGCATTTTAGATTGTATGTCGCATAAAAAATAAGTGTAGTTTTTTTATTAGTAACTTGGAAATTGCCAGAATAATGAACCCATAACTAAGACAAGGGTTTAATAAATAGGGTATAAGGCCTGTGGGCATGCTGTCATCTTGAGGTTATCTTGAGATGATTTCGGGGCTATGCTGTAGAACATTAAGGCATAAGAAATGATAGATGTCGTGCCTATACGATTCCTTTACATTGTGTTAGTTTCTGATGTCCAAAATAGTGCTGTGCTCTGCGGGGCTATATTTAACATATCCACAATATTTTGATTGGGTATTTTGATTCAAATTTGGAGGTACAGTACAATAACTCATGCTAACCTAACTTACACACTACTGTACTTGGCAAATAGGAAAATGTAATAGTTTTTTAGGATTTCCCAGAATCTTAATACTTAATAGAATATATTTTTTAATTTCTATATTTTTTTTTCATATCGTTTATACAACCCATTTTTAATTTCAGATTTTTTGTTTAGAAATCAACGAGAATCGCATTTAGAGCTGTGCTTTTAATATTTTGCAGGCAGAGCTATCATTAATGTCATTTGAGGGAGTTCAAGTTCAAGGAGCTGCTCAGATTTTGGAGAAAATAAAGGTAAGCGCATTTTCACCAAAGGCTGAAGTAAATACTGAATTAACATACTCTATATGTAAACACAGTTATGATTTATTTTTGCTCTAGATATACAGGTAAATAATTGATGTCTTCATATACAGAAATATACATAATTGATGTATACAGGTAAATAATTGATGTCTACATATACAGAAGTATGCATAATTGATGTATACAGGTAAATATTTGATAGTTTTGTTTTTATAATGGCTTGATACCTCACGTAGATGGGTGTTTTAGTATAGGTTCAATTAAAATGTGTGCACTGTGACCAAGGGGCGGGGAACCCTTTGTTATACAAAAACTAGATTTTACTTGGCAATGATTTCATAATGCCACAAATTTATTTAATTGGGCCTCATACAACCAACTTTCTTGAATATCTTCGATTTCCCTACAGATGACATCAGACTAGTCACACATTTCATTGATTATGGGACTATGTTCATTTGTCTTAATATTTGGTAGATAATGTTTGGTGGGAATCTACGCAGTATTTTGCTGTTTACTAATACAGCTAATCATTATTTTGCACCTTTTGTGGCAGGGCTCCATTTTAAAACTTTCCTGTCATGTCCTGTTGGTGCAAGGAAGATGCTGGAATTCTCAATCCAGCCTGGAATGTACTCGAGAAGGCTCATATATGCTTGAACCCCTTCCAAGTGCTACTCTGAATCAGAGACTGCCAAGGAGTAACCCATCCCCCACTCACTCTAACCCCCATCCTCAACCCTACTCCCAACCCCACCTGTATTGCACCCACACATACCCCCTGTTGTTCTCCAAAGTACTAACAATCTATCCATCCATTGTCCTGTATTTCACCACTGCTGCTGCTCTGGTAGCAGTTTGTATTGGGAAAGCTGGCTTTGCTAACTTCTCAAACAGAGACCAGGCTGAACAGTTTACAAACTTGTCATTATCCATTGTGTTTAAATTGGAATTTTTGTGTTTGTAGAGTCTTGCTACCCAAGACTAGGTTATGGCTGGACTTCCATGAGCCAGCTAAATATTGGGGGTTGCTTTACATCATGTTTTGTTCATTGCAGTTCAGTGACCCTTGTCAAGGTCATTTCTTGTTTGATTGAAAAATGTTTGTTTCTTTTGCATCTGTGAGATCCAGAAGATTTCTTTTGTGTTGGTTGTGTTGGAAACTGGTTGGACCAGTTTCTTTATGTTGGGAAACCTTAGGAGGAAAGGCTGCACTAAGAAGCATTCCCCCCCCCCCCTCCCTCCTTTCACAGCCTTTTTCACTACTTTTACAAGTATCTTGGAATCTCCCACTTATTTGTTAGACATTTTCTGGGATTTTTTTTGTTAATTTTTTCAATATTTCGTTTGGTAGAGAGCTCTTATTACTTGAATTTTTCTTTCAGAATTTGTCGTTCACAAAAATTGTTCGGGCCATTACCACCGTCGACTGTCAGCCCACTTTTGATGGGGGAGTCTTAGTCAACATTTTAGGGCAGCTTAAGGTGAGTTCAAACTATATTACTATACTGTAGATGTCTTTTGCATTATGATCTCTGTAGGCTGTAGGGCTGTATTGTCCACACGTTTTATTGCTGATCATGCGTAATGATTTGTCTTGTATTCCAATTGTATTGGTTTTTTGGTTTTAATTTGATTTACATGTCCAGGTAATATGAAGTGTAAACATTTGTTCACAACTAGTAGAGGTAAACAAGTTTGCTTGAAAAGTATTTTGTATACATATTTTCTCTCTTTGCTCGTACATTTATTTTTCTTAGTTAAATCTTGGTTGTAAATAAAACTTTGTTATGAATTTGGAATTTTTAACGTATATTTCAACAAATGCCTAAGGCACTAGGAATAATAATGATATAATTAGCACATCAGTAGATTTTTACATCTAAAATTTTTATTCAAATGTTGCGAAGGAGTTCTAAGGTGGGGCTCAAAAAATTGTGCTTATCATGAGTACAGTCTGTTAGACTTGCTTAGGTGGAGAGGTAAATGTGCTCACAGTCTCATAAATAGCTTTTAAATGAAGGCTCACAAGTTAGGTTGCTACGTTTGTGTAGAGATTACAGTTGTCGGCAGTAATGTGTTTGCCATGTCGTTTTTAATGTTTAGCAGTTATAAAACTATTGGAAGTTAGTGTTGACTAGGAGGCGAGGTCATTACATACAGTAATTAGAAACTTGATTACATTTAGAGCAGGACACAGCTGAGTGGTACCAACATGTGTTATTTAGGCTCCTTAGTTTTAGAGTGTGTTACAGGCCTGAGAAAATCCACCAGGGTTGTGAGCTGGCGCAAACCTGCGACCCCAGTCATTGCCAGCCGCATATGCTACCACCGGACCACCGCTGACTTGTCAGTTATAAGGGGAAAATCCCGAGTGGATTTTCTCATTGACGTATGTCACGTTAGTGTGATTTCTGTGTTAAATGAAGGTCTGTGGTATTTATATTTAATGAGCAGAGCAAATTTAGTAGTAAAATATAATTTCTTGGACCATAGGATAAACTGAGGATATACATGTGCTTGCAATATCATAAAACTATTCTTTCAGAAGAACTACACTATTTTCAAACTCCCCCCTCCCTCTTCCCTCGTCTTTTTTTTTTTTTTTTTTTTTTTTTTGAGCCAAGTTCCCTCATTGCTTTCTTGAGTCAGCCAGAGACCTATGAGAATTCATGAACGCACATTCCATCAACAAGTGTGGTTATTGTCATGTGTTCGATTTATATTTTGCACTCGGGGCAAACGTACCTTTGATCATAGCTGCACTTCACAGGATAAATACAGCCCACCATGACCACAACTTAAAATAGTGAGGAAATGTAGTTTGGAATGGAAGATGGGAATAATTCTTAACTCGAGCCAAAGAATGAACTCGTGACTTGAGAACCCTCCCTCCCAAATGAAAATTGAAATCGATCAATTCTGGCTCTGCTAACTTGTGGCTGGTCAGTTGGCTATTACCCTGATGACCACCAGATAACAGCACCACCACAACAGAGCCTCTAGCACTGTAGTAACTGTCAAGGCAAGTTTATTTTAGTGTTTTCTTAACTGTGTATGGCCAATTTTTTGTCAAAAGAACCGGCACTGAGCACTGTGTAGCTTTGTTTCAGGGTTATTTACCCTGGCACCAATTCACCTGTTTTGTTTTGTTACTTGGAGTGGTTCTGCCTTGGTTGTTCCTCAAGGCTGTCTTGAGGCTGGGTCTGGGTACCAAGTTTGTCTGGATGTTTGCCTTGGGTCCCAAGAAAACCCATAGCATGGATGCTGCACCAATTGGGTGGGAAAAGGCTGCTACTGAAGATTATTAACTCTGATTTCCTTATTTTATGATGGGCAGTGGAATGACTTCACCCTGGAATGACTTCAGGCTGCTTGATACCTGATTGATGGGGTTCTGGGAGTTGTTCTACTCCCCAAGCCAGGCCTGTGGCCAGGCTTGACTTGTGAGAGTTTGGTCCTGTCCTTTTCCCTGGTTGAGGTTGTTGGCTAGGTCAACCTGTCTATTGCTAGGATTAATGGCTGATTACCTAGCTGGTAGTCAGTAAGTAGACTATGAATTGAGGGTATTTAATTTGAAATATTTGCTTGCCTCTAGCAAGGTGTTGTGTCGAACGTTCGTTCTAACTCCAACCTCAAACCTCAACGTGGCTTGAGGTGGTATTAGACATATTCTACATTTCTATGTACAGTATGCAACCAGACTATTTTTTTAAGTACTTGGTCATGGTGGGTGAACAAATGATTAGATGATGGTGGGTGGAATGTTTCTGGACTAAAATAGGCCATGGCTAACTTAAGAAAGCTACTGAGGAAGTGGCTTGGAAAGGAGCATTTCATTTCACACAGCACCCTAATTTTTTTTTTTACTATTTCTGTTAAATTTAAATAATTTTCTTGTTCCAACTTAATGTAATTCTGCTGATGGCTGTTCCGTCCAGATGGATGACGATCCTCCACATGGATTCAATCAAACATTTATGCTGAAGCCACTGGGTGACAGTTTCTTCGTTCAGCACGACATGTTTCGCTTGGCACTCCACCATATTGTCGTATGAGTGGAGTCGTGAGGGGTCAAGCCTCTACTTACTCACCTTTATTGTAAGGTACTCGAGAATACTTTCTTGGGTGCTGTTCCTTGTTTGCTTCATGTATGCCTTGATCTAATTTTTTTTCCCCCCCTCCATGCTCATACGCATTTTGTTTTGATTCCTTTATTATTTTGCGGCCGTTTTTAATTGCCATTGTTCATTTTACTACCTTGAATGATTTTATTTCTTGCTAATAACTCCAGCTGTACACATGTGGCCAGATGCAGCAAAACCACACAATTTGTATAAACAAATAGTGAATGATTATGTAGTTTTGTACCGAGCAATTATTGAGACAGTACTTGTGCCTTAGCAATTTAGAACAATCATTCTTCCCAATTTCTAAGGTAATGCTTTATACGTTTTTTCATTATTATAACATCCCCAATTTCTTGTTTTGATAGGGTGGGGTTTCCTTCTTTCTATTACCTGCTGGAAATAAAACAGAAAAAATATTTAAAGATAAGTGTAAATATTCAGTGACCCAACCTCTTATCACACTCTTCAATGTTACATGAAATTGATACCACTACACAGGTACAACATTTACACTATTATTTTGGCCATTTATCATTGACTTTATTCAGTATTCTCTGTGTGCTCAATGTAAATTACTATTAAATCACATCGGCACTTATTTCATGACAATTTGCATTTACTCTGATCTCATCTGCCTCTTTGTTGACAATTGAGGCTTCATCCTGAACCCATTTTTTGTTATCTTTATTAGACATGGGTTCCTAGATATTTCTCCTAGTTTAGGGGATTTTCTATTCTTAGTGTTACTTCTTCTTCTCCACCTCGTCTGGTTCATCGCCCTTCATAGTGGATGACAATATTGTGGCAACCAAAATCTTGTCTTTCACTGCTGATTTATGAGCTCTTAATATTAGCTTTCCTGATATCTCCTGCAGCATGCTCGACGTCAGTTTTACTTTCCGCTCATTTAGAGCGGGAAGTCAAACTGATGTAGGAGTTTCCCACTCTTAAGTTGACGTAAAACGTTGCTGTAGAAGACTTCCCCACAGATGTTAGGGTAGACACATGTATGAATAAGTTCAGTATAATGTAAATAGTAGCTGCTTGGTAAGGGTCAATAGGTCTTCTGCAGTTTCATTTCTTCTTTTGTTGTGTATTGTTGCATTCTACAAGCACCTTACTGGTAATCATATCTATATAATTCCTCACTGTGAACTGTACTTCGGTTGCAGATATCCAGTATTGGTTGTTCCTTATTTGTAGTAACTCCATACAGTGGGAGCTATACTGGGTTCCTAGTCATGTTGGTATAGTTTCCAATGATGAACCTGTGAAATTTGCCATTTGGATATTGACTATTGTGAGCTTAAAAATAGAGACAGACCATCAGCAAAAGAACCCCTCAAATCCTGGGATGCTGAGCTCCCAGGCTCATCCGAAATAAATTAGGGGTATGAAGAGGGAAGAGAAGATTGCAGCCTCTGTCAAATCCCTGGGTGGAATACCCTACAGCCTGCCAGAGGCCATTTGTGACTTGGTATCAAAGGAGGATGTTAGGAAGTTGAATGAACCAGCCTCTTGACATCTGAAGCAGGGTAGGCCAGTATATATTTGGCACAATCCACTTTCCACAAATGTCAGAATCACAAAGTGCAATTCTGCAGCATGGTCGCAGCTCGATAAGCCACTATACAAGACTGCTTTACTAAAGCAAAACTCCAATGCTAATGAATGGTACACATCGAAGTGTGACAGAGCTCTTGAACTGAGTTGTCAGACTGACAGGCAGCTTGAGTGACCATCTGGGTTCAAAAATACAGAATTACACCCAGTAAAATGTATATACACCAGTACTGTATAAGGCATGGAGGCAGGCGAGAAAGTTGTCATAATCCGAAGGCATGGACCTGACAAAAATTTCTATTGGGTGAAGGATACTTTCCACCAGGACAATCCTGTAGATGAGCAAGCAAGCCTAACACCAGGAAAGCATCTCAATGGAACCACCAACTTTTAACCATTCAGTGAGGAAAGGCATATAAAACCACGAATAATAATGATCACATTTACCCAAGCGCACTCTTGATAAAAGCACTGGGTCTGGCATATACAGGTCCAGATGCACGAACGACCCATGCAAACAGGTATACATACACTAGTGCGTATCTATATAATTTTTTGTTTTTTAATACACCATGAAGCTGTTACATTGCAGCTGCACAGTGCATAGGTTAATGTACAGGAAAATATGAATGCAGTTTGTTGCTCTTAAATATAACAAATTAAAATTGTTAAATTTGTTGTTATACCGATAACTCGTAGCTTTGCATAACATGGATGGGGTTCCACAACATGTGATCAGGGAGGGATTATTGTACATATTATTTGGTCAAGTGAAATTTTCTAGTCATTTCCCACAGGGCTATGATTCCCCTTCTCACCCTTACCCCTAACATTATGACATTTAGCAGTTTTAATATTTGACGGTAGAAAATTGATCCACATTGACATGTACAGTGTATTGACATTTATTTTGCTTTTCTTGTTTAATTTACAAGCCAGAATGATTTATGCATTGCTGCTTTGTGATGCATGCTTAAGGTAATTAACCATTGTCATATACTGTATATATATATATAATCTCAAATTTAAGTTATCTATTTCTGTGAACTGTTAAGAGTTGATGTTTTGCATTGTGATGTCTTTGTAACTTGTCCCACTGTCATGTTTTTGGACATTTGTGTGTTACATTAACTTGGGTATATTAGGTATTGATGCATTATGGTGTCTGGTAGGTGGCTGCCCTTGGAAGCATGCTTGTGCAAAATGCAAGGGTGCTTCTCACACTTGGGCTGGACGGTGGAGTGACGGTCTCGCTTCATGCAGGTCGGGGTGTTCAATTCTTGACCGTCCAAGAGGTTGGGCACCATTCCTATCCCGTCCCATCCCAAATCCTTATCCTGACCCCCTCCAAGTGCTATACAGTCGTAATGGCTTGGCACTTTTTCTTGATAATTCCCTTACCTTCCCACACTGATAGCCACATCTGCACTTCAGAGCTATTAACTAGCTCCTTCAAGTTCTCCACTTTTATGTTGTCTGTTCACTAAGTAATATTCTTACCTTTTGTCATATTTCCTGATGCAGGGCTGTTTAATTTTTCTATCGTGTAATGCAATGCAATTTTTGGGAGGGCTCCTTTAGTAGCTCAACGGGCTATGTGCTATTGCAGTCAATCCATAGGGAGATACACCAGGCTTTTGAGATCCTGCCTTACCTATTATGAGCCAGGACCAGAATTTGGTACTCTACGAAGTGTGGGGGATCAGAGATTTAACCTATAACCAAGGAAAATACAACCAGGAAGAATTAAGTAGAAAACAAGCCACAGATTGAAGAAAAATGTGTATCCTTGGGTAACAAGGCAAATGATCATTGTTGTGGCATAAACACCATACTTGTGATGCCCCTGAACCACCTCCCAGGTGGTTCAGGAGGCATTACTGTCCATATCAATCCATTTGCCTGGTCAAATCCTCGGGGATATAAAACTTCTAATGAGGCACATCCTCTGCTTCATGCTGAAGTGTTTCAGTGGTATTGGCTATCCGTAAAAGGCAGGGATAACATTGTTGACCAAACCACACTAGAAAGTGAAGAGATGACGACATTTCGGTCCATCCTGGACCATTATCTAGTCGATTGTGGTCCATTGATTCTTAATGATAATGGTCCAGGACGGACCGAAATGTCGTCGTCTCTTCACCTTCTAGTGTGTGATTTGGTCAACATTTCCTGGCTCTATAACTGAGGATTTAATGTTTGTAGATTGAGGAAGATCCTAACCACTTGAGGATCTAGGTGATCCTCAAGTGGTATTAATGTTAGAATTGCTTCACTACCAAATGATTTGTGAATCTTGGGGCTTTGCTGTTGTTTCCTATGCTTTGTTTACCTTGGTCATCTGTTTTGATTAATCCACATTTCTGGTGACCTTTTCTTGGTTAGGGTGACCCACTATTTATTCCCTGCTCCTTGTACCTCTTTAGAATGGGCACGATTTGGTCTCGGGGTCTCCAGAGCTTGTGTGTGTGTCTCTTGTGTGGATTGAATTGGGTGGTTTGCTTGGCAGCAAGCATGAGGGACTTAAGATTTTTTTTTACATTGGGCACCAATTTTTTTTTTCAGCAAACCACAATGTAGCACTGTTAATTGACTAAGCTGTTTAGCATTTATAGCCATTAGAATGCTTTGAAGACTTAAGATGGGGCTGCCCATCTCAAAGAGAGGAAATTTACATAAGGAATCAGGCACTGAAGTCTTAGAATACATTTTCAGATTAATACATTTTTTTTCTCCCTAGATGGATGAGGACCCAGTTCATGGATTCTCTCAGACATTTGTTCTCAAGCCCATGAATGACTCTTTCTACATCCAGCACGACTCTTTCCGTCTCGTCATTCATAACAACTAGATCATCGCTTCATTGTCAGTTGCATGACCACCGACATCAGCTAGTGAATCATCTCCTTACCAACCACAGGCTATCAATCAAACTAAGCTTTAGTAATGTTTGCATCAGTGACAGATGTTGAAAGCAGTTTGTAATACTGTATTTCTGAAGTGTACTGAGAAAATGTATTTTGTGTAAGATGTGCTTAAAGACTCGTAATGATAATGTAGACTTAACTTTTCTCACCGAGAAATGTATAACATGATGCATACATTATTGACCTAATTACTGCATCAGCTAACTTGAAAAAGCAACATTATTGATAAAGGCAAATGACAATTGATGATTGATTCACCACCAGAACACAAATTTATCTACCGGCTGCCTTCTTAGGTCGACAGATGGCATTCCAAGTAGTTACTACAAGGAAATCACATTGTGAGGGTAATCACTGTGAACTCATACGCTTAATGTCCTGTAAATGGGAACCGATTGGTTTTGTTATATGGCGCTGTTGCAAGTTTGGAAACAGCTGACTCATATACGAGTGGCATTTTCTTGGCTGTATCAATGTTAAGATTATGTTTGCTTGATATGCTGCTTCTTGAGTTTCCATCAAGTTTTTAATTCTAGGAATAATGCCACTTGCTAGGTTAAGGAATGTTGTTACTGATTCGACAGATTTTTATGCTGCACACATAAGGAGCATTTTGTTGGTGATATGAATGCAAGCCGCAAAATAGTTTGAAGATGGGGTAATCTCATCAGTATTAATTGGTTTCAGCTTTCAGCACAACCTCTGCCTTGTAATAGATATTATGTCCATCGGGCTAATGAACGTTTGGGATGTTATTGTTCTGAAGTGAACGTCAACGGTGTTTTCAGCGTGTCCTTTCCCCATTATGAATGTTATAGAAATGTCTGGCCTTTGGTGTATATCACGGAAAGGTTGGTACCACAACTGCCTCATAGATGGTGCGTTTTCATGTTTCTGTTATACAGTCTGTGAAATGTAATAAGCTTGGAGGGCATTATGTTGAGAATGAGTTTCAGTTTATAACTTTTTACCTAAAAGTAAGAACTTTAATTTGTGATGGTATTTGTATACTTATTTATTTATTGATAATTTGTATTCCCTTTTTCTCTCCATAATCACATTCTTCACCCGCTGCACCCCCACTCACGCACCCGCTGCACCCCCACTCACGCACCCGCTGCACCCCACTCACGCACCCGCTGCACCCCACAGACACACCCGCTGCACCCCACAGACACACCCGCTGCACCCCACAGACACACCCGCTGTACCCCACACACACACACACACGCTGAACCCCACACCCCTGCTGCACCCCACACACACACCTGCTGCTCCCCACACCCCCCCATTCATTCATCCCATTCAACCCCCCAGTGTACCAAATTTATGTTCTCTGGGGGAATTTCTTGTTTCTGTTCTTACACGAGACCTCTCCTCCATAGTGCCTCTGGAACCTCTTCGTTTCTAAGAGTGTGAGAAGCACATTCATGGCTCGTCAATTACTTCTGTGGATTTTTTTTATTTTCTTGTAGTCTGAGAATGAAGCATTAATACATTTATGGTTCTGTATACTGTAATGCATAAAATCTATTGGTTATAATAAAAGATAGTGAATTTGTACACACTAAAATGGCCTAAAAGAAATGTTTATTTTGGTGTTTCTGAGTTCAGATATCTAGCTGGATAATTACCAAGCATATCGGCTATTAAATTACTAAATGGCGTAACACCACATCATTTGGAATAAAACAAAAAAGTATTCATACAACTTAATGTGTAAGGGCAAATTGTAAATTACAAGTCTTACTACAGTGTAATCTTTAGTCATCAAAATGTCTATTTTGCTTAGTTTGATAGTGCCTATTGTACTATGATAATGAGGAACTTGTTAATGTCTGGGAGTGTGTAGTTGCAGCATTTATATAGTCGGGGTACCAACTTCTTAAATCTCGTTTATCAAGGCCACCTGGGTAACTTTTTTTTTTGTGCGTGTGAATTTGCCCTTATATGATCAGTAATTTGTTTAATTAAAATGATATTCTTACATAATCCCGCTTTTATTCATCCTCCTGAGTAATTTTAGCTGGTTGAATGCTGTTCCATCTCAAATTGGCTCGGCTGAAAAATTGTCTTGGGTGCACTTTTAGGGGAAGTTTGTGTTACGTTAGATGAAGCTCGTCAAAATATATTTAGTACAGTAATAATACCAAAGCTAAGATTACATCGGGTAAAACCGGCTAGGTTGTCCTTCCGGCTATGGACTAGGACTTGGGACAAGATGTAGATGCTTTGTGTGTGTAGCAATATTCACTTATGCCATTTGTACCTCTGGTTATTGTAGGGGGCAGTGGCAGAAAAGTTAGTCACATAATGGACTTTGTATTTCAGTCATGAGGTAATAAATCCATGGAATCGCCTACTCATCAAAGCTGTAAATCGCAAGACATTATTGTATTTCTATTTAAGATTCAACTGGAAAAAATTATCAGAGTCAGAGGCCACTGGCTTTCTGTCCCTATTGAGGCAATACGGATGATGGTCCTCTAGCAAATTCAGGTAATTTTAGTGTGCACCCACACTCATTCATACATGCATTATCTACAGTACGGTAAGCAAGATTGGTATGCTTTACTAAGATTATTGGTAGTGTAGAATTTTGAATGAAATCTTTTAGACATTTCTTGAATGTAAGTGACTTGTCTATAATTTTTTTTTCCCCACATAACATTACAATGATGTTGGGGTTAAAAATGTTTGGCAGAGATTAAAAGGACTAGTCAAATGTGTGTTTGCAGACGGTGCAAACTCTCAGCAACACACATAGCCGAGCCTCATTCAAGCAGTAGGAACATCTAGACATGATGTTATTGGGCTATCCATAGATATTGGTTCTTATTGCATGGTTGCGTGATGATACTGGAATCGCTAGTGTAATTTCATATTTTATTTTTGTAAATCTTAAAACTTTGATTATACAATTAAGATTTGACTTTTCTTTTTCTTGAAATCATTACAACTGTTGCATTACTTATTATTAAAATTGTTTACTGGTATTTACAAGGTTAAACAACATTAGGACAGAAGCAGTCAATAATTAAAAATCAGTTACAAAAATGTACAACAGTTTATTGTAAGAAATGCGACACTTGTGCCACCTTCATCAATATACACAAACACATACGTCTTTGACGTTATCTAGATAATATACACACACGTCTCAAAATTTGTATGGTAGGTGAACATTAAGCTCTGTGCCTTGTCACTGCCAGCATTCACAGAAATCTTGTAAAAAAATAAATGTATGGTCCAGCAGTTTATGTTGACAACAGTACAACACACCTTAAAAAGTAACGAGTTGACAGCGAGAGTACATAATGCGCTACATTCATCCAGTGTCAGCCCAACTAGGCAGTTTAGATAGTGAAAGATAATAAGATATTTTTATCTTTTTTAAAACTATGTTATTGTGGAATAAATAGTCCAATTCAGTACAACACACTGCTGGCAAAATCTAGAATGCCTGATGCAAGTAACAAGCCCTCTATGATGATATGATAGATGGAGACTTTGGGTGGGTGAGTTGGGGAGGGGGTGGCACCCAATATTGAGTGGGCTTAAGTCTAGGGGCTGCCTTAGGCTGCTGTGTTGCTTGTGGGACGTCTTCTGGAGGACCTCCTTCGCGTTGTCTGGGGAGGGACTCCTGCTTTCGACCTTCCGATTACTTGAGAATGGTCACTTGTGCTTGACCTTTCTTGTGTAGCCAGAGTGCGGGAGGTAGAGCTTGACCTCTCCCTTGATGGTCGATTACGGTCTCTTGAACTTATTCTTTGTGTTGCCTGGGGAAGGTCTGTTGAACTTGACCTTTCTGTCTGGGATTGGTCAAGAGCTCTTGAACTTTCCAATGTTACTTGAGAGAGGTCTCTTGAATTTGATCTTTCCCTTGTCTGTGATTGGTTTCTTGTTCGGGTACGGCCACCTACGTTATGTCGTACTACTGCCACTTGGGGCTTGTCTATTGTCGATTCTTTTGTAATCTCTGTTTGGTCAGTCATCTGCTTCACAGTTACTTCTGGTTGGTCACTTGCCCTTTCTACTGACAGCTGTGGCTCATTGGGCAGAAGTGCCACACCCACCTGTGGTTGTTCAACAATTTTCACAGAAACCTGTGACTGTTCTGGCAACTCGAAAGCATCTAGTATCTGGTCATTAACACTCGTCGCAGAAACTTGCAGTTTATCATAGAGGTTTCCTACAGGTGTGTCTGATTCGATAGCGACTTGTATGTCAGTCTGTGGCTGTTGATTTTTCTCCACAGCAACCTGGGGTTGGTTTATAAATATGTCATTAGGTATCAGAGATCGACCAGCTGTTGTTCTTTCAGAAATCTGCGGTTGACTAACTTGGTTTTCTTCAGTTGGCAGAGGTAAATAAGTCGGAGGGTGATCAACTGGGGTTTCTTCAGCCGAGAGGGGTAAATAGGTAGGCCCAGCCGATAGGGGTAAATAAGTAGGCCTTGCAACTGCTTGAAGTGGCTCCTCTGATGATTTTACTGGCTGTGGAAAGGCAAACAGATTTTCCTCTGCAGATTTGAGGAGAGTTGGGACTTCTCTGTCCAACTGGGCCAGACTACTAAGTCTTTCTTCAGAAATTAGAGACCGATCAGCTATTTTTTCTTCAGTGATTTGGGATGGAGAAAATGCTTCGGCCACCTGTGGTTGACCAACATGTCTATCATCCATTTCTTTGGACACTTGAGCTTGACTAAGTAGCAGGTCTTCACCGAGTTGTGGCAAACCAAAGCCAATCACTTCATTTTGGGGTTGAGGTGGAGTTACTTCATCCAGTGGTGCCCTTGCCACTAATGAGGGAAGAACCAACACTCTTCCATCAGTTACTTGTGGTTGATGAATCACACTCTCTTCAGTGACACGAGTTCGACTTCCTCCTCTTTCTTGTTGCACTGGTTGTCGACCAAATGCTATGCCTTCATTCACAAGAGGTCGAGCCAAGATCTCTTCAGTTCCCTGTAGTCGACTAATCGGTTGTTCTGTCTCAACATGATCTGTTCTCTCTCTCTCCGACTCCTCTCCATTAGGTGCACCAGGCACTCTGACCCTCTTTCGTGTCACTCTTTGGCGTGAGCCACTGAGATTCCTTCTAACACCCCCTTGTTGGTCAGTGTGTGTAGATTCTGATTCACCAACTGAGCTCTTTCTTGTCTCGAGGAGGCCTCTCTCAGGAAAGCCACTGGGTGTCCTCTGCGTCTCCTTAGGAGCCTCTTTATTTTGCACAACCTGAATGTCATCAATTGGCCTTGGCTCTTCCGCTTCTTTTCTTCTCCCGAGTAAACCAGACAGTCTTGGTCCACTCTTGGGTCTTTTAGTCTCCAGGAGGCTTTTTCTTCTATCTTCTTCAGGGATCTTTTTCTTGTCTTGGAGACTTCCATCCTTGTCTGTTTCATTTTCTGGCTTGTCTTGATGGACATTTTGGTCTGATAGTTGGTTTTTCTGTTCCAATGGGTGCTCACTCTCGTCTGAACCACCAAAGGGTTTCTTGAGAAATGCGGGCCGCTCTGGGAGGCGTGGCCTACTTGTCGGTTTCTTTGACAGCTGTGGCCGTTGAAGTGGAAACCTATTTGCTCTGGTCTTCTCCTGTGGAGGCTCGTCAGTGTAGTCACCTTCAGTAGTTTGCAGTGCCTGAGTGGACTGGAAGGGATTAGTTCTGCCGAGTGCTTCAGACTGGGGTCGAGATGCAGGAGAAGGTGTCACGTGAAAACGATGGATGATGGGCAGTCTCGCTGGCTCGATCTTCTGGTTCCTGTTGGCGATCCTGAAGGTTTCCCTGAAGCAGCAGAGGTTGTAGAGGGCACAACAGAGTCCCGGCCGCTCTTCCACTGCGCTTACATCTCCAGTGTGGACTCTGGGCAGGCAGTCATGCTGTGACAAGAGCAGAAAAAGTTCACCATAAATGTGAGTACTGTCCACACACACGCACTACGATCACCCCTTACAAAATAATAACGGGAATTTACCAAATTGACAAAGTGGAATTCCTGAAACCTGCAACCCCCCATGAACAAGAGAGCATAGATTCAAGCTAAAGAAACAAAGGTGCCAAACAAATATAAAAAATAAAACAAAGCTACTCAGTTTCTTTTGCAGACAGTGGTAGATGGTTGGAACAAGTTAAGTGAGAAAGTAGCGGAGGATAAGACTGAAGGTACAGTAGGTTCAAAGTGTTATATGACAGTGCTGGGAGGACGGAACACCAGGAGTCTCTCTCTCATCCTGTAACTTCACTTAGGTAATTATACACACACTATACCACCTATGCGAGACCAGTTTTTGTGAATGCTTTCCCATCGTGGAACACCATCTAAAATCATACACGAGCTTGAAAAGTTCCAGAAGTTTGCAAAGACACTCGTCCCCGAATTGCGAGGGATGAGGTATGATGATAGACAATGAACTAAACCTGATGATGCTTGAAAGGAGGAGAGAGAGGAGACATGATAGAGATGTGTAAAATACTTAGGGGTATTTAGAGTGGAAAAAGAGAAATGTTTACAATGAATACCAATAAAACACGAGGGAATGGATGGAAGCTTGAGACTTCTAACATCTATGATGAGTCATAGATGTTAGGATGTTTTCGTTTAGCATAATGCTGAGAAAAGAAGGTTGTAGAAGCACACTCCATTCACAATTTTAAAAGTAGATATAAGGGGAAAAGGGTCAGAAGTCATTGCATTAGACAACTGGCAGCTAGGAAAGCAAGGTCCAAGAGCTGGAACCCGATCCTGCAGGCACAACACACAAAGGGGTATGTTGTGTACTCGCCTATAAGAAACAAAAGAATCTTCAAGAGTGTCGTGAGGTTTGATAATCCAGTAAGTATATAACCGAGTCAATGTTGTAACTACTGTATGACAAGATAGAAATGCAAATTAAGATGCTTATGAGAATGTAAGAGAGTACTTCCCCTGAATCATAAGCCCAAGTTCTATGTTAATTTAAAGTTAAAAACAAAAAAACAATGGATTACATATTCCCTTAATAATTGCTACAGCATAACATTTCTATATCACCGAGTCCACCAACAGCTTTCCATAACAAATATATCAAAACCCTAATTATCACACAACACTAACAGTTAATGCTAATTATTAACTGAATACCAAGGAGGATTAAGCCACAGTGGCACTCACCACGTAACTCCTTTAACCTCCTGAACTTTCATGACCTACATGGCACAATCTTCCAGATAAGGTCACAGGCCTCTTAAAGAATGGGAAGGTGAGGCCAGTAAATGCTTCCCCCACCGCCACATACTTTCTGATTACCTCATTATGAAAAGAATATGGTAAGCCAATATGGCTATTAAGCATGACTTGAGTGATTATGGAAGCGATACTGGGAAAGGAAATTAGTCCCATACTCCAATCTTCAAACTGATAAAAAACAGAGTTGATTTTGTGAATATGCTCTGAATGCATCTTATATATATAGTTTGTAAATATAGAAGTCTGTTTTTATTAATTTATAGGAAACAAAAACTTCCTTCTACGAGGCCTGCCTCCCAACCACCTTTACTATTTTATTTTTTAAATATTTTTTATGTTCGGTTCACTGCACACTCACAATGCAAGACTCTGCAAATTCCTGGCAACAGGTGTGGTGTGTCTCACAGCAGTAGGGCCACAAGTCCTCTGGCACTGCTGAGCAGTTGGTGCGGCACCGGTCCATCTCTGTCTGGAACACGCCAGCTGCCACGCCCACCACGCCAGCTGCCACGCCCACCACGCCTGCCCACAACCACCATCTCACCTGTTGAGGAAATGTTGCATTAATGTGATTCACACGTTATTAGTAGTATTCTGCCCGAAACGCTGCGCGTACTAGTGACTTTACAAGATTGTAAATACTATGCTATGTATTCTCTCAAACCCAATGTACCTTCTTGTATATAAATAAATAAATAAATTTTCTCCAGCAGAATTAGTGATACCTGTGATACCTGTGAATTAGTGATACCTGATTATGATTGAAAGTTTTATTACTAGTAATACAGAAGTAGTAAAATAAGATTAAACATTACTATGATAACACACAATAACTATTTTACTATTAATATTATTATTTCAACGATTAACTGCAGAGGCAATGTCATAATATATATATACCACCTATATTGTGCCTCTAACAATGATAATACTTTACAATATTTAGATCTGTAATATATACACACACAACACTTGTATAAATAAAAATATTAATTAATTTCAGCATGACATCAACACATTTTCCAAAACCATGAAAAACAACACATTCCTAGAGACAAGTCCAAGTCTGTCACCCATGTCAGGACTTAAAGATTCCTCGGCTCTCACTGAAAACTTTTAAACCTCCCAAATTATTTTAAATATAGTGATTCTTGGTATGTGTATGTGTTATGTAATTTATTATTATTTAATTTCAGGAACAAGGTGACCCAGCATAGAGCTGAACTTGTTTTGAAAGGGTAACACTAGGTTTATTTGAGGCTAAGGGAGAATGTAGCAAACTTGATACTTTGATCATGCCCAAGAGAATGATTATGCTGTATGTACTCGTCAAAATTGTTACACCGATTTTGTGTACCTTCACTGATATCGACGATATCTACAATGTGGATATCAGTGTGGAATTTAGGGAGGGAGGGAGGTGGTGTGGGATTGATGGAGTGATGGAGCTAGTGTGAGATTGAGGGAGAGACAGAGATGGTGTGGGATTGAGGGAGGGATATAGATGGTGTGGGATTGATGGAGGAGACAGTGATGGTGTGGGATTGAGGGAGGAGACATGGTGTGAGATTGAGGGAGGAGACATGGTGTGGGATTGAGGGAGGAGACATGGTGTGGGATTGAGGGAGGGACAGAGATAGTGTGGGATCAGAGGTTTAGACTGACATAAGAGGAAGACTGCCATTCACACCTGGATTATCTGTCTTTCCCAACAGTTAACCGTCTTTGGTATTCAGTACAGTACTGTATATCGATTTATACCTAAACAATATTGTGTGAATACTGTACCTGGAATGGGTTCTGGGAGTTGTTCTACTGCCCATGCCCAGCCTGAGGCCAGGCTTGACTGCCCTGGGGTATGCACATCAAACAATAATAACGGCAACTTTTAAATTGTCGACATTTCATCGTATTAGAAGATTGCAAATTTGTGATAAATCGCTGCTGATACTCTGAGGCTTATTGTCTAATCGGCACAAACTTATTTAATTACCATTCAAAACAAAAAATAGTTTGCTACAATTGTTTGCAAATTGTCTAATCAGACCAAAGTTGTCGACAAGACTGGCTCGGTGCATTGATTGATTGAAAATTAAGCCACCCAAAAGGTGGCACGGGCATGAATAGCCCGTAAGTGGTGGCCTTTTTGAACCATTACCAGTATCAATAGATGATACTGGAGATCTGTGGAGGTGCGACTGCACCCTGCGTGACGGGAGATGTCTCCCGTGTCAGTACATTGATTGATTGATTGAAAATTAAGCCACCCAAGAGGTGGCACGGGCATGAATAACCCATAAGGCCCGGTGCATTCTCACTGTCTCTTTTAGGGTATGTTGTACAGGTACGATGCTGACCTGTTTCTACAGTTCTGTATTTTCTTATACACGTAACTTCAGGCAAGGTCACACTTCCTCGCAGTAAGGGTTAATCTTGGCCACGACTGAGGCGACAGTTTGTTTCCACAACTATTGCCTTTTTCGCTCCTATATTTCGGAATGATGGCTGCCAGGAGCCTGATAAACTATTAGTTCACTTAATCGAAACGTCATAAATATGTGAGCATACGGTATCTGGTCTTCTGAAGACCGGGGTATTAGTGTGCTACACGATAACATAAGGATTTTGAGTGGTCCACGTCCACGATAAGAGTGGTCCACGTCCTCCGGGTGTGATCTACGTCCTCCAGGAGTGGTCCATGTCCTCCAGGAGTGGTCCACGTCCTCCGGGTGTGGTCCACGCCCTCCAGGAGTGGTCCACACCCTCCGGGAGTGGTCCACACCCTCCAGGAGTGGTCCACGTCCTCCAGGAGTGGTCCACGCCCTCCAGGAGAGGTCCACGCCCTCCAGGAGTGGTCCACACCCTCCAGGAGTGGTCCACACCCTCCAGGAGTGGTCCACACCCTCCAGGAGTGGTCCACGCCCTCCAGGAGTGGTCCACGCCCTCCAGGAGTGGTCCACACTCTCCAGGAGTGGTCCACGTCCTCCAGGAGTGGTCCACACCCTCCGGGAGTGGTCCACACCCTCCAGGAGTGGTCCACGTCCTCCAGGAGTGGTCCACGCCCTCCAGGAGAGGTCCACGCCCTCCAGGAGTGGTCCACACCCTCCAGGAGTGGTCCACACCCTCCAGGAGTGGTCCACACCCTCCAGGAGTGGTCCACGCCCTCCAGGAGTGGTCCACGCCCTCCAGGAGTGGTCCACACTCTCCAGGAGTGGTCCACGTCCTCCAGGAGTGGTCCACGCCCTCCGGGAGTGGTCCACACCCTCCAGGAGTGGTCCACGTCCTCCAGGAGTGGTCCACACCCTCCAGGAGTGGTCCACGTCCTCCAGGAGTGATCCACGCCCTCCGGGAGTGGTCCACACCCTCCCTCCAGGAATGGTCCACGTCCTCCAGGAGTGGTCCACGCCCTCCGGGAGTGGTCCACACCCTCCAGGAGTGGTCCACACCCTCCGGGAGTGGTCCACGTCCTCCAGGAGTGGTCCACGTCCTCCGGGAGTGGTCCACACCCTCCCTCCAGGAATGGTCCACGTCCTCCAGGAGTGGTCCACGCCCTCCGGGAGTGGTCCACACCCTCCAGGAGTGGTCCACACCCTCCGGGAGTGGTCCACACCCTCCAGGAGTGGTCCACACCCTCCGGGAGTGGTCCAGGTCCTCCAGGAGTGGTCCACGTCCTCCGGGAGTGGTCCACGTCCTCCGGGAGTGGTCCACACCCTCCAGAAGTGGTCCACGCCCTCCAGGAGAGGTCCACGCCCTCCAGGAGTGGTCCACACCCTCCAGGAGTGGTCCACACCCTCCAGGAGTGGTCCACACCCTCCAGGAGTGGTCCACGCCCTCCAGGAGTGGTCCACGCCCTCCAGGAGTGGTCCACACTCTCCAGGAGTGGTCCACGTCCTCCAGGAGTGGTCCACGCCCTCCGGGAGTGGTCCACACCCTCCAGGAGTGGTCCACGTCCTCCAGGAGTGGTCCACACCCTCCAGGAGTGGTCCACGTCCTCCAGGAGTGATCCACGCCCTCCGGGAGTGGTCCACACCCTCCCTCCAGGAATGGTCCACGTCCTCCAGGAGTGGTCCACGCCCTCCGGGAGTGGTCCACACCCTCCAGGAGTGGTCCACACCCTCCGGGAGTGGTCCACGTCCTCCAGGAGTGGTCCACGTCCTCCGGGAGTGGTCCACACCCTCCCTCCAGGAATGGACCACGTCCTCCAGGAGTGGTCCACGCCCTCCGGGAGTGGTCCACACCCTCCAGGAGTGGTCCACACCCTCCGGGAGTGGTCCACACCCTCCAGGAGTGGTCCACACCCTCCGGGAGTGGTCCAGGTCCTCCAGGAGTGGTCCACGTCCTCCGGGAGTGGTCCACGTCCTCCGGGAGTGGTCCACACCCTCCAGAAGTGGTCCACGTCCTTCAGGCGTACTCGTCACTAATGAAGAATTATGAGAGGGTGGTGGGGGGGGGGTGGTCAAGTCCAGGTCAGACGCAACTGGTTCGCTCAAAAGGTCAAGCAGGTTTAAATAGCGAACAAACAGTGACATATTTAGGACAGGTCAACTTCAAACATAAACTCGACACGAGAGACTGGCATATGAACGTCAAAGCCAAGAAATACGTAAGAACATAAGAACAAAGGCAACTGCAGAAGGCCTATTGGCCCATACGAGGCAGCTCCTATTTATAACCACCCAATCCCACTCATATACATGTCCAACCCCATGCTTCAGCTGTATCAAAATAAACAATGGCCAAACATAAGAAGAATGAAGAAGGGTTTGATCTGACACATATGAAAATAATACATGGAAATCTCATATGATTGTACAGGATAATTGTTGTGTTCCTTATGATTGTACAGGATAATTGTAGTGTTCCATATGATTGTACACGATAATTGTTGTGTTCCTTATGATTGTACAGGATAATTGTAGTGTTCCATATGATTGTACAGGATAATTGTTGTGTTCCATATGATTGTACACGATAATTGTTGTGTTCCTTATGATTGTTCAGGATTTTATTGTACGCTTGTGCTTTTAGAACTATTTAAACAATTTTGAGCACATTGCCATCAATAAAGCGAACAAATCCACAAGGGCCGTGACGAGGGTTCGAATCCTCGTCACGACCCTCTTGGATTTGTTCATTTGATACACCACACGTAATAATTGCAATCAATAGTACTTTTAATCATTTAAATCACATAAAATATATTATAATATCGTGATAGTATTTAAAACATCTTTTTTTTTTAGTGTTTAATGAAAGCCTTTCATTACATTTTCTGTGACGGCGCCGGTTTTAATTAAAGGCATTTATGGCTATGTTTTGTGTGTGTTATTTTGACAAACATTTAAAGTTATACAAAACACAAATGTTGCGGTTGTGTTAATATATATTATTTTTTGTTTGTCTGGGACTTTAAATTTGTTATTTTTGGTGATTATTTGGTTGCTGAAGGTACGGTAGCAAGGGAGAGAAACGCGCATGCGCGCGCACAGTGGCCTATATGAGCACTGAACCTGCCCTACTCCTTTCTCAAGTTGGTATGAAATT